AGTTAAACGTTCGCGTGCAAACCGAAGGTTTTGAGTCCGAATTTGGTGTACGGGATCATGAACACGCACTGCTGAGAAGTTCCATACTAGAACGAAATGGCCGTTCACTGCTTCCAGGTTTTCAATGGTGTTCTATTTTAGATCAACTCATCAAGTCGACCGTCAATATTTTGAAATTACCAATAATAACTGTAACTCAAATTAAAATGCTTGAATCAGGTTTGTTAACTCTTTCGTGAACTCTTAATTTTTATAATCAAGGAATACAATAGTTCTATACAAGTTAATTTAATATAAGAATATAAATGAAGATCCAATGTCTCTGACATTCACGTTTAGTTTTATTCAATGTACATTCCTTTATTTTTATTGCTTTATGAAATGATTTTCTGATTTTAGGCTTACTGATAGTTATCCAAACCCACTCTTGTTACTACAAACTGTAAAAAAATATTTTTTCTTGGAATAAAGTAACCGTAAATTCAGATAATTACTTTTGAATATATACCAATCAATTTAAATTGTTTTACAGATAATATATCATTATGCGATATACTAATTTTCCAGCTGTTTCATTGTGTATTTGTATTTTAATTCATTGAACATAATAAATCATGTATCGTTATTTGGAATCTTTATTATAGGCTGAGGTTGGTTAATTATCGTTTCTTTAGTGATTATCATATCTTGGATATGGAATGATAGTCTCAAGCTAATCTAATTCCGTCAAAATATCATTCATTAATATAATTAATATAATCTACTCACGTTTTTTAACTGTCTAACTGGCATTAACTAAGGTTCAGTAGGTACTTATACTTTAATGCCGATTATAATAGGACGTAGGTAATATCATTTACCAGTAACCTCTAATAAATAATAGTGCAAGGCACAAAAACCATCTAGTAAGTAATACTTTGTTATTTAGGTTATTTACGAAAAGCGATCAATTCAACATGAAGTAGCGAAGCTCAACGTAAATCTACAAGTCTAATTGATAAGAAAGATCTTATCTAGTCATCTTGATAATTATGTCAATAAACCAAATTATTTGGTGTAATATGACAAAATCAAACTTCAACCCAAACAACATCCATTTTACAAATTATAAATTGGTTAGTTACCAAAATCCATAATTTTCGTAATTAAACCCAGAAGTTTTCTAAATCATATGTTTATCTACTGCAAGGAACGCAAAAAAACTGGCTAGTGAGACTTGTTTGTTGCTGTTTTCGACCCAAAAGTGTCTGCATTTCCTTTAATAAACCGTAAAAAAATTCAACACCTTGCTACGGAATGTTATTTTGACAACCAACTCCACGAAGTTGTACCATATAAATGTAAGAAACATGTTTTAACCAATTATTTGAAACATTTTGTCATCATTTTAGACGGTATACAGGAAACCATCGCAAGATATTCTTCTTTATAATGGCTATTCACTTAGTGCATGTAATGAGAACTTTTCTTTCTTTATGGACTTAAACCTGTCTACACTATCTTGCAAATACTTTTGTAAACTTCCATTGACATTATAGTGTCAGCTAATGCTCAGTGAATGGATGTTAAACAAAATATATTATGTAGAAAAACTATCACAAGTTAACCGAGTTCAATCTGTTAAATAATTCAGAATCTACTTGATGGAACATGTCTAATAATCTAAAAGCTGATTTACCTACTGCTACTCAGTTTTAGATGTACTTGGTTCGATCTCAATGACCTAAGGCTGTATCGTGAAAGCGAACTACTAGTATCCTTGCACTATATTTTTTTTACTTTAGTAGATGAAATGGAAAGCAACTGTGTAGTCTGAATTAATCTTTGGCTATTAATTTCCCATAAGTTTAATTGTCATTAGTCTTTCAAATTTTTCATTATCAGAAATTTCTTTTTTTACCCGTCTCGAGTGGAAATAGGATTGACATCCAAATTTTTACATCAAGTTCTATTGGCAACTTATTGGGTTATATACTAGTAAGAAGGGAATCAATCTATAGTAGATCTCACAATTTTATCAGTATTATTTCCCTTTCTGGGTATCATAATCAACTAATTTTTTACCTTATACTATATAGTAATTAATCAATTGAGACGGGTTTGTAGTTATTATGCATGAACAATGATTGAGAAAAAACAACAACATTATAGCGTACCAATAATTGATAGAATAGTAAAAATGCATCGGTTCTTCGTTTAAAAGTATTTGTCTCTGTGTGTATGTGTTATTTTGTTTAAATCAGTTATCTATTTATAATAACAAAGTGATAAACTCCAGTTTTGTAGATAAAAGTAAGCACACAGCACGGTATGGTGGAAAGCCTGTTATTAATTTCTTCGAGACATCAATGTTATTTTTTTCCATTAACTTTCATTAAAATGAATTGAATATATACATTTGCTCCTCTTCTAGAAGAGTGATTTATCTCCAACCTGGAGAACAGTATTCTTTGGGGGCGATGATCAATTATTTTCATTTTTAAATGGATTTGTTTGTTGTCATCTACTTATTATACACTTTTTTTCCTAGACATCCATTTGCATCTACGATATTTGGTAACAATGGATTTTGTTAAAAAAACATCGATACGTTCTAAATAACTCTATCCCTATTAGTAAAACTCTGAATAAAATCATTCTCACTACTGTCAAATGTTTAATTTCTTCTAAATATCTAAGGCGAAAGATTTTAGGCCAAGCTTAGGCTAATATATTTCTAGTTTCAGTAAGTGCATTCTCTCCTCCTCCAAACATCCACACTAGTAATTCATCGTAAACGTGTAAAAGTAGTTGATAGAAATAATTCAGGCATCAATTATTCAGAAATTAAATATGATATGCACCAACATTTTACCGTTTTGTCCTTTTTGAGCTAAAAGCCAAAAAACTATCAATACGCAGCACTTTTTACTTTTCTATATTCATCAACCTAAGCTTTATCTACATAAATAACAGATACAGAGCAGAAAATGTACGACAACACAGGTTTAATAAAATGACTGAAATTAAGGTGAAATGTGAGTTATCAGAAATATAATAACTTTAAGTTCATTGAGTAACATCTGTATTTATAAAAAGTAAATAAGTGTTGCTTGTCGATCAGTGCAAAACATGAGGGTAATCTAATCTTTTATCTATATCAATACTGAATAACTATAACAAACACTTTCACCTAATCATATTATTATTAGATTTCATATTTATTCACGAAGATTCCGTTGTTTAAACTGATACTGAAATAAATAGTAAGTAAAAAGACGATTAGAATTTTTTGGTGCTACACCTTGGAAAAGTTGTTTTTTGAATGATTATAAAATATTTTACACATTAAGTATTAAGATCAAACTTTAAAACTGCAAGAATTCTAGTTTATTCAATGTTAGATTTCTTTAAGGATCACTTCTGTTAAATAGCGCACGAATACTACTCCTAAGATTAGGCAGATAACCTGTTAATTATGCAGGTTGAAAAACAGAGTTTTAAGCATCACTTGATGTTGAAGACTAATATTCTTGTACTTTTAAAGGTGATACATTTTACTACCATAAAAAATAACTAACTGACCTCATAAATTTTGATCTCTGACATCAATATTGGATATCCATCATTAAATCATTTACTGAAATATCTGAAATCTTGTATTTGATTGTTCTTGTCGAATTGATAATAATGAATACTGTACTGACGTAAACGTAATCTAATTTATTTAGATCAAATTTCCAGACTGTAATAAAGTTGGTGAAATCTGATTTAATTCCTTATTATGTTCATCGTTTCTTCATCCTCATTTGTTCTTTATCTATTTTCTATACAACAATTCCTCTTCCTATTTGACTATTCATTGCGTGATTGCTGATGGGAACATAATCTACTAGTTTTGATTGTTTTTCTCCCGTTCATTCTCTCTCTCTCTCTCTCTCTCTTACTCTCTTAATAGCAAATGACAGTATGTCAGACATTAGTAAAACGGGAATCGATAAACACACTAAAATTAATTAGTATTTTAGGAGAATGGTGTGAAGAATGTATAAATGTCCTTCTTGTTGAACTTTCTAATAAAGTTGTTTGTAAAAAACTTGTTACCAAATTTCTACAACATTCTGTTATGTGCCTTTTGTGTAAGATATCAAATAAACGGGATGTTTTCAATAAGAGGAATTCGCACCATATATCAGTGATCATATTGATCTACAGGCTTCAATAGTCATTGGATGGTCAATAAAAAGCATTAGCTAATGTTCACGTGGTTAAACTGTGTAATAGATCATGTTATTAGAAGAGTTACTTATAAATCAAGCATTACATGAATAGATTTTTACCTTCAATATTGATTATTTTATGACCGAAAAATAAGTTTATGATATATCTGTCCGAATGAGTTAGGTGATATATATATGCTTCCGATTATTTCACTTTCCATTGTTAAACTGGAGGTTGATAATGATTATCATCAGCGAATAATTTCATATAAGACAGAATGTACATGTCCTCCAAAACAATTACAATCAAACCAACATAAAAGTGGGGATTTGGTTTGGAAATATGAAGTCAGATTGATGATTATTACTCATCAGTGACTTTAGTAAGAATTGCAGTTTCAATAAGTGATAATAATTGATTTCATAACCTTAATCAGGAAAGACTATAATTTACGGATGAACCAATCAAGTATTGAATTTTGGTGCGATTTCATTCATCCATTTGGCTAAGTAGCGTTTTGGGATTTCAGCTTATGTCAGTTCGTGATGAAAACCCTAAATCTAATTCCTTACCCTAACCGTTAACTATAAATTATAATTCTGGTTCATTGCACTGGTTTATAACCCTCATTTATTCCTAGTTATTAGGGGATATTCTCAAGGTTATTTTAGCGTCGCTTAAAGGTCATCCATAAATTATAGTCTCACCCTAAACCATCTTTAGACTTAAAGCAATCTAATAAATGAGTTTTTTCAAATCAGACATTTCGTATTTTTCAATTGCATATATTTTCTTTTCAGTTTTTATCACTTTGCTTATTCCTATAATCAGTGGATACACTTGTACTCCTGGTACTGGAGAAATTTTACTTCGAAGCTCCGCACTTAATTCAGCGGAGAAACGAGTAGAAAACGATATAACTTCTAACAGTAACAACGAAGATGGAAACGGAAAGCACTTAATAAAACAAGGTATATTCACCTCACCAAAATGGCCCAAATCATATGAATCTGGGACACGTTGTGTTTATCGTTTTATAGCGGATGTTGGTGAGAAAGTTCATATTAAATTTGATCACTTTGTTTTATCGGGTGATATGCCGAGGTTAGCTCATCAATTATTATTGATTTTATAGTTTTCTAGTAGTTCATTATTATTTTGTAATCGACTAAACTGAAATAATGTGAACGAGAAACAGATATTGAAAGATTAATCAATAGCTTATTGTGAAAGAACATAATTCTATCACTCATATTATTCTTTTTTTTAATACATGGATTGTCTTATTATCCATCTTATCAATTAATTATAAAGAAAATAATCTAAGAATTATCTAATAAAAAAGTCAATCGGGTGTCACTATACATGTCTTTGAATATTTACCTACTATCAGCTGGACTTTTCTAATCATATAATTGGATCCTTCTGGCATCTTCAAAAATCATGTATCGCAGCTACAGTGTGCTCTAGATTAGATGATTAAGTAATATGTACGTATTGTAGCCTATTATTTGCGCAACAGCTAGCAAAAGTCAGCTAAACCAGAGCTTACCTCTTGTACTCGTGTGAATATTATATCATCTACTGACCTACCAACAATTGTAAAACGTCAAAAATAAGTAAAATGTTCTATGTGTTAAATTGATTTACTCCTTTTAGCTAATCCAGGATATAAAGATATTTTGATAAATTATTGTTAGAGATGATTCATTTCATTCCTCATTATTCTAACAGTGTTCATTCTTTGGTTTCATACTGGGGAGTTGATCTAATTCACAATGATTTCCATCATTATTCTGTATTAATTAAGTTGAATGATAGATGATAACTAGTCATAACTGGGAATAAATTCTGTGAACCATTCTAATACACTTTTATAGCGATATTAGATTTCATGGATTTGATAGCGTACAAAGGAGGAAGTGTATATTGAATCATGTATGTATACGTTAAAATGTATGACCAATGATACCTGTCCTTCATTGATTTTTCAGCTATAAAACTTCAATCGAAAATGTCCCCTAAGTTTCAGCGAACTTCATAAATATTCTTATATAACATTCTAATTTATATGCGTGAAAAATGTTTTTAATAACAATACAAATATACTGGTGTTTTTTAAAATGCATCACAGCAGGAAATTGAATAAACTGATGGAATTGTTGTATGGAAGATTATGCTGCGAAATTCATTATCCCACCCACATCTATGTAGGGTTAATTGCAGTAACGATAATGTGTTATTCGCAAGTGTTTCTAGTGGATTATATTTAAATAAAAATAATAAATTAACAAGGAATATTATGTTGTTATCAGACCTTATCCCTGTTGTGTTCAAAAAGTATTAGCCAATAAATTCTTGACTGATTGTGCTTTCCAAAAGTGTCTTAACAGTGTGTTATTTCTTTATGAATATTATTTATTGTACGTACTTTTCATTTTATTTTTTGTTATTATTTTAAATAAAAAAATTTTTGTGATTAAGTTACACTTAATTTGTATGCATTTTTTCTAAGTAGACATTGTAAAACAAATATCTCCCAATACTGAGACATTCAGCAGAATTGTTTTCGTTACACCATCACAAAACCAGATATGACTTGGGAGAGTTTTTAAAACAAACAACTTTCTTGGATTTAGCAAGTTAAAATGGTGTAGAGAATCTGTAGTTTCGAGTATGAGTTTGTTGAAGTTGAGTGATCCTATCTAGGGGATATAATCATAAAGCTTTCATAGTTTTTGTGGACAACACCATCAATATATTGATATTTTTTACCTACAGCGATAGGCTCTCGTGAGCAAAATTTAATATTTTAACTCCAGTTACAGTAAAAAAGGGTAATGATGTTCTAAATATCATAAGCGCGACATTCTCGGGCTCAGGCAAAACTTCATAGTTGAGTGTTATGTGGACGCTTGAACTAGAATTTATTGATCATTGTTAAGTATATTATTTGGCATTAGTCTTGTTGTGTTGTACAATCACTAATTTTTTCAAAACAATTTTAAAATCTTACCTGTCCAACTAAATATGAGAAGTGAAGTATGGTTTCGATGAAAATGTGAGATAATTTCCGTGTGTAAACTATGCAATATACAGATAAATAATTCTTATTTGTTTATGAGTACTTCAACTTTCTGATGAACAAATGTTAATATTAGATTATTGCAATCCTTATAATCTTAACTCGAAAAACATTAAATATAGACATACCTTTTCATTAATTAACGTCATTAGTTTCTCATTAGTTGCCTATAGTTTGAAAAGAAATTTATTAATTACTATTATGTAAAAAGTAGTGGTAAATTACTAATCATCATTTTTAATGTTATGGATTGCGAAATATACTTCTAATTCTTGAAAACTGAAATGATAATAAAATTTATTTCAGATAATAAACTTTGATTCATTACATGCCCGGTATAAGCTATAACATTAGGATTGGATTTGTGGAGATATTGTACAAGTTATAAGTTTTTCTTATCACGAACCATTGAGAACCAATGAACACTAAATAACTGTATCATTGTGGTTCAGTGCTCAGAAACAGTGAGTGCCAACTGTAACGAATGAGGATGAATATCGAATAAACTCAATATCTTTCAAAACTATTGAGGTAAAAACCCACACCTGCAACTCCAACTAACCTTATAGTCTCCATTTAATGTTACCGATGAGTTTCCGTTTTGTTCACAGGTTTCCATTTTCTAATAGAAATTCTAGCTAGTGAGTACTCAGTTGTGGTTAACAACGTTGGCTAAGTAAAGATCCCGATTTTGATGAAACTTCCTTCATTGTGTGTAAAATAAAGTGATCATTTAGTTTAGGTAAATGCCGCTTAACCAAACACATGCTTGGATGAGTTTATAGAGTAAATGATTATTCATGTGTTACAAAAATAAACCACATATTAAAAGCCAACTAATCACCTATCAATTCATAATCTTGGGCCATTTCCAGATAGCAGTAAGTGATTTGTTGAACATTGTCTAGATCCGCTATTGTATGGCTTAGAGTCAAGTGCTAGGATGGTTTTCATTTTCATTCTAATAATTAATGAAATTTGATTTTGCTTGAATGCTACATGAATTCCCTTCTAAACATCATGGTGAAAATTTGTGTGTCATCTGATTGCTTTCGATGGTATTAACCTGATCTGGATGTTTTCACTCTAAAGTCTTTATCTTTCTTGTTTATAACCCTATATTCTAATAACAATATATGGACAGAATCCTCCAATCACATTTTCCCCAGAATCCAGTACCAGGTTATCATAGATAGTAATCAGGTAGTACTAAATGAGAATTTCAGGTTATACAATTACTCTGGGTATAAATGCGAAGATTTTAGAAGAGAAAGATCCCAAAACTAAGTGGCAAAACTAAGTAACAAAAAATGTCTTAACGAGGCGACTCATAATTTTGCTGAATATTTAGTTTTCCCTTCTGCAGAACCTTTAAGCTATTTAACAACACAGATAAATACCCCTTTTTCTATTTTTCTCCCACTGTTATTCCTAACAGTTGTTCAGTCGACTTCTTGGATGTGTATATTGATGTTGCTTCGTCAACACTAGATTTGGATAGACAAGCCGCAATACTTGTTGAAGCCTCTTCTTCTTTATCATCATCATCATCTAATGAACTACACACAACAACACCATTTTCAGCCTCTGTTTATTCTTCCGTATTAGATAAATCAGATTTATTGGGTCGATATTGTGGTGATTATCTAGCGACCAACTCTGTCACATTTATTAGTTTACATAGAGAGATTGTATTGGATTTTTATTCCGAGTTAGAAAAAGTGGCGAATCCCTGGTATACAACTGGAAAATCCACTATATTCGGTTTCAACGGAACATTCGAATTTATTAATGATGGTAAGCTTAATAACAGTGTTTTTGTTTTGTTAATTTGTTACACTAGCTTGATGTATAGCGTTTAACGCTAACGAGAAATTCATGTTATATGTTTAAGGGTGTTCAGAAGGAAGTTGAGCATCCAACGATCAAAATAAATTTTGTTGTTTGAAGCAGCCAAGTCTGGTTTTTTCATGGTTGTAGTCAATGCTATAAACAATTTGTTGAAATCTCAACTGATTAGAAATACTATTGGATTAATTTTTCAAACATGCAGTCCGTACTATGTTGTTCTGTGCAAATATAAACCTGTTGACTAAGGAGTAATCTGGTTGTATAATGCAAAATACACTCTAATGCCGGGTCGCATAACACATGGAAGATATTCCATTACTTTATCATCAAACTGTGACCTTTGACCTAACCACTGCTATGAATCCGGTGTTCATCTTGTTGTGCTGATGCGGTATGGCAACCTGGACCGATGCACATATGTGCCTGGTCCTACGTTGTAGCTGACTGACTGACTGACTGACACTAACTCGATCACATCACAGTATCGTAGCAAACCTTGTGATTAGATTGAATATGAATGGTATGTACAGAGAGATGCAGAAAGTTATAAATCACTATGGAAAAAATGATTTGCGTAAAGTTATTTTTTGTTTTTGTTAGTATGCTACCTTATTGTGTTATTGACAAACATTCTCATATACTACTTCCAAAAATGTTTAACTGTTTCACTTCATTATTTACAGGCTTTCTTCTAACCGTGTGGCCAAATATATTTTAAGCATAAAATGATAATGTTTGAATTTTGTAAATTACCACTCAATGAACTTCCTGTTATTCATAATATTGCTAATATTTGCGCTTCTAAAGTGTCCGAATGGCTGAAACGCCTACCCCATACTCAAAACCTTGTTGAAAACAGTGCTTTGTTTTTAGTTATTCAGGAATTAAACAACTGATACTAAACGTTTTTGGATATAAATTAATGAATTTATCCCAAGTTCAGGGTTCATCTGATTTTTACATAAGACATGTACTCTAACGCTCAATACACAGTGTTATTGACCGTTAGTTAATATCATTTGTGTTATTTATTAACTTGATGTCTTTTTAAATAGGTGAACTCACTTCTAAATTTTCATAATCAGATATGAAAAAACTTCTTAAAATTCACCCGTTCAATTCACATTAGTAAATAAAGGCCCAATTGTTTAGTACTGATAAATTTCTTTCGTTTGACTTAGGATACTTGTTTTAGGCTTAAGTAAAAGGATTCGCGTAAATTCCTAGTGAACTTGCATACTTGATCACAGCATGATTAGTTAAGATTTATAAATAATAAGCGGTGATGTATAGAATGTGATTTACATTGAAGTTCATTATATTATTTGTGAGAGTGACATTTATTTCTGTGTTAGGTAATTATTATTATTAATCTGTTGTTTACGACATTCTAAACAATTAAGTTGAATGAATTTTTAAAATCGAGAAACGAGATTGACAGATGACTTTTAGCTACAGTATGTAAAATTTAGACAGATTAGAAGCGATAACCAGCTGAATGTTTGTGACCTAAATAAGTCTTTTGTACGTCAGTCATCTGATGTGATGCTCCCTTTGACCACAGGTTTAAAGAATAGCTGTGTTCCTAGTTTCGCTGAAACTGATGTCCGAAGATGTCTCCAGTCACTTAATTCATCCCGATGTTTAGGACCTGATGGTATCCCAAACCTACTTTTTAAAAAATGTGCTGACGTCCCATGTTATCCATTCACGACTATCTATAACAGATCCTTCTCATCTAATCTCATACCGAAAATGTGGAGAAAGATGAAGATAATCCTTGTACCCAAGAAAGTATCTGGTGATAAGAATGTGAAATTTAAACCTACTGCAATAACTTTAACCTTCCTCAAAACAATGAAAAAATTAATAATACTTCCACTTCAGCCTGCGATAAAAGAGCATATTGATCCGTATCAGTTTGCTTACAGATGCAAAAGAAGCACCTTAGATGCTGTTGCTGTTCTGCATCACAACATAGTGTTCAACTTAGAAAAGGGTAAAAAGTATGTTCGATGCGCTTTTCTGGACTATACTTCAACTTTTGATTCTATACCAAGACAACGCTCACTTTACAAGTTAATCAGCGTCAACACTGACAGCTGGGTAACCAACTGGCTATGTTCCTACCTCTCTGGAAGGGAACAGTACACTGTGTTTGAAGGAAAGTGTTCAGAGTCTCTGCTGTCTCATGAAGGTGTACCACAAGGAGCTGTTCTTTCACCTCTTCTTTTCTCTTTTTTTCTGCATGATCTGCCATCTTCCATAGAAAACACTTTTGTGAAATATGCGGATGATCTCACTGTATGTATGTCTATCTCTTCCTCTTTACATCCCATAGTAGTGAATGAGTTTTTGTCTCGTATTGATTGTTGGTCTGTTGGTAATGGTTTTATACTTTATCCGTCTAAATGTCAAGCTGTTAACTTTAGCATGAGACATGAACGGCATCTAAACACCATTATGAGATCCCATAATGCTTGTGCCATTGGAGACTTTGAGAAACACAGTGTCGAAGGTCAATTATCTTGCTGTTACCTTTTCCTCTGATCTCTATTAGTCTTCTCACGTTTTATTGTTATGGAAGAAGGTTTTCTGTCTGACTTACTACATAAAGAGATTGCATGCTATTGGTATTACTCGACATTTACTCTTACAACTTGTCAATTATTGCATACTACCTATTATTCTTTACTGTTCTCTATTGTTCTTTCCCGGGCTTTTGAGAAAAGATTTTGCTGTATTGCGAAGAGTGCTGAAGGCAGTTAGCAAAGTGTGTGGTGAATCTTTCGAGGTCATAATTAATATAGTTGTGGATAGACATTTAAAATCATGCAAAATCCTGGCAGATTTTATTTTATCAGATACTAACCATCCCCTTCACTCTTATCTTTCTACTTGTATATCTTCTGTTATAACGAGACGTAGTTACATTAAAATTCATGCACGCAAGTAAAAGTATAAAAGTTCTATAACACCTTGCCTAGCAAATATACTCTGTGACGAACAGGTTGTCAGAGTTAACCTAGTCAATAACCTGCATTCTTAACATGTCTCTAATTTGGAAAGTTGTGCAGTTTTTCAGATTTCTTTTTTTAAACCTTTCCTTCCCTTTTTTGTCTTTGTTTCTGTTTTTTGTGTGTAAGAAACTTGTTGAAATACCCTGTGCTGAGAATTTCTATATTGTACCAAAACTATAATATTGAATAAAGCCATTAATAATAATAATAGTAATAATAATAATAATAATAATAATAATAATAATAATAATAATAATAATGTAATATAGCGGGTAACTTGGAAATATATAAAAAATTTGAACAAGAATCGACTCTTAAATCAGTTATCAACTGTTCGTTTCCCCTCAAATAAACACATGTATCTGTAGTCTCATGTACATAGGAATACGAGATTTATCTATACTGGTGGTGGGTGAAATTATTTTGAGAATTATGGTAATTTATTATCAAAGCTTAGAAATATTACACTTGAAATTAGTCTCACTAAAAGTTTAGCTACGCTCATTTCTCAACTTAAGATATTCAAATGGCTTTGCTAGAATATACTCAGAAATATTTCAGCAATCGCTGGGATCGTTTGACGGTAATTTGAATAAGTACTTGATTCTGGACGTCAGTTTACTTTTTTGGTTACCCTACGACAGTTAGTTTTAATCTTCAGATGAAAATAATAAGCCTATTAGCTGGCAAAATCTTGAGTGAACACCGCAGATCAATAACACTGACTGGATTTTTGTTGATTTTTAAAGTCGACTTGTACTTGTAAACAGACATTTTCATATCTACAGTAGAATAATTCAGGATTTGGACTTCAACCAGCATATCCAAGCCTGAAGTCATTTATATACTTTATGATAAATAAAATGATTGTGAATACAAGGCACTAGTCAAAAATGTACATTTGTTCTCATCTGAGTGATAAGATGATTCTGTTCACTCAGATGATTGTATGAGTAAACGTTTGTTTGATCAATAGACGATACATACATACATACTTACTTACTTATTCCCGCCTGTTACTCCCAATGGAGCATAGGCCACTGACCAGCATTCTCCAACCCACTCTGTCCTGGGCCTTCTTTTCTAGTTCCATCCAATTCTTGTTCATTTTTCTCATGTCTATCTCCATTTCCCGGCGTAATGTGTTTTTTGGTCACTTTACAAGTTAATCAGCGTCAACACTGACAGCTGGGTAACCAACTGGCTATGTTCCTACCTCTCTGGAAGGGAACAGTACACTGTGTTTGAAGGAAAGTGTTCAGAGTCTCTGCTGTCTCATGAAGGTGTACCACAAGGAGCTGTTCTTTCACCTCTTCTTTTCTCTTTTTTTCTGCATGATCTGCCATCTTCCATAGAAAACACTTTTGTGAAATATGCGGATGATCTCACTGTATGTATGTCTATCTCTTCCTCTTTACATCCCATAGTAGTGAATGAGTTTTTGTCTCGTATTGATTGTTGGTCTGTTGGTAATGGTTTTATACTTTATCCGTCTAAATGTCAAGCTGTTAACTTTAGCATGAGACATGAACGGCATCTAAACACCATTATGAGATCCCATAATGCTTGTGCCATTGGAGACTTTGAGAAACACAGTGTCGAAGGTCAATTATCTTGCTGTTACCTTTTCCTCTGATCTCTATTAGTCTTCTCACGTTTTATTGTTATGGAAGAAGGTTTTCTGTCTGACTTACTACATAAAGAGATTGCATGCTATTGGTATTACTCGACATTTACTCTTACAACTTGTCAATTATTGCATACTACCTATTATTCTTTACTGTTCTCTATTGTTCTTTCCCGGGCTTTTGAGAAAAGATTTTGCTGTATTGCGAAGAGTGCTGAAGGCAGTTAGCAAAGTGTGTGGTGAATCTTTCGAGGTCATAATTAATATAGTTGTGGATAGACATTTAAATTCATGCAAAA